ACAGGCTGGGAGAAGTGGGCCTTGAGAGCAGCTCGGCAGAGAAGGACCTCGGGGTCCTGATGGACGAGAGACTGAACATGAGCCAGCAGTGCGCTCTGGCAGCTCGAAAGGCAAATGGGATCCTGGGCTCCATCAGGAGAGGGGTGGTCAGCAGGGACAGGGAGGTGATTGTCCCTCTCTACTCGGCTCTTGTGAGGCCCCACCTGGAGTACTGTGTCCAGGTGTGGAGCCCTCAGTACAAGAAAGACATAGAGATCTTGGAAAGGGTCCAGAGGAGGGCGACTAAGATGATCAGGGGGCTGGAGCACCTCCCCTATGAGGACAGGCTGAGGGAGTTGGGCTTGTTCAGCCTGGAGAAGAGAAGGCTGCGGGGCGACCTCATTGCAGCCTATCAATACCTGAAGGGAACCTACACCCAGGAGGGGAGTAAACTCTTCAGAAGGGCTGACAACAGCAGGACTAGGGGAAATGGATCAAAGTTGAAGGAGGAAAGATTTAGGTTGGATGTTAGGGGGAAGTTCTTCACAAGGAGAGTAGTTAGGCCCTGGAACGGGCTGCCCAGGGAGGTTGTGGATGCCCCGTCCTTGGACGTGTTCAAGGCCAGGTTGGACGGGGTCCTGGGCAACCTGATCTGAATGTGTATGTTTGGTGGCCCTGCTAGGCAGGGGGGTTGGAACTACATGATCCTTGAGGTCCCTTCCAACCCAGGTGATTCTGTGATTCTGTGATTCTGTGATTCAAAAACCTGTTGAAACATCTCTCTGTTGTTGACAGAGTCCCTGGGAAGGCATTGGAGGGCATAAAAGCATTAGCGCCCTCAGGAGTGTAGCTTTTAAGGCTTAAACCATGCCAGATTATATACAAACAGCAGACAAGTGTGCCAGCTGTGCTTTGAGGGCTCTCGCCCATGTACACCGTACAGCAGCGGGCTCGCTCTGGGCAGCCTCTGCCAGAGCGCCTCTGCCAATCCTCTCTACATTTTAACATTCTTCAGGGATGGTCATGAAGGAAAAAAAGAACTAAATGCGATATCATCAACTCTCCATTGGCTTCTCCATCATCACAAACGGTGATCGCTGTTCCCTAATGCACCAGCCCTTCTCTTCTCTCCTGCTATCTGTAAGGTTGCTCTGCTCTCCTGGAGTCATTTTGCGGAGCCCCGTGCCAAGAGGGTTTGCTCCTAGGCCTCTGGAAGAGCACGCGCCTCTCAGTAAGCTGAAGCATTGCTGTGGTGTTGAGCAGCAGGGAGTAGGTGAAGCATGCTCACAGCTGCCCAGCAAGGCGTGCTGGTGCTGAAGGGCACGAGATCCATTGTGTCTGGAATAACGAGGAAGGAATTCGTTTGAGCACAACAGAAGAACGTAAAGATATTTTTGCTGTGAAATAGTTATAAAGATTTTGCCTGCAACTTTGACTCATCACAAACTCGCAGTACTGATCATCCTGACAATATTATGACCTCTTAATTCTAGGCAGACTTGGGAATAACAGAAATAAACAAGCTGACAGCAGAATTTATCCAGACTCCTTTGAAAATCATAACAAAAGGTCAGTAGTTAACATTCTGTGAATGCTGATTTGGTTCTTAGCTACAGCCTTCGCTACATTTACAGACAGGGATGCAATTCTACCTTTACTCCTGCAACCTGAAGTAGTTTTACTTGCCTTAATTAAAGCATTCTGAATAATTCACAGCCGTGTTCTTTTTATTGTTGTCATCAGAATTCAGAGTTTGGAAGCAAGCTGTTGCCAAAAGAAGCTTGTAGTACATTTCCTTACCTTAGCTAATGGTCAATTATGCCTCGTTAGTTGTTTTTTTTTTCCTGTCAACTTGAGTAGTGCTTTCTCCTTTTCACAGAAAAATCTAAACAGGGTATTGAAGCTACTGAAGAAGCAGCAGAGGTTCCTTTGCTTCCTCTAGCAAAGAAAGCGAAACACGATGGCCAACTTCTGGAGCAAGCAGCTGCAAGTACTAATCCAAGAAACGGAAAGGTAAGCAGCTGCTCTTTGTGATGGCTTTTATTCCCGGGATGTAAACTATGTACTGAGACGATGCTGATGCCTATGGTGGGACAGCTGTGCAGGATGCTGTAAGGGTGACTTTGAAAAAGCTGTTGCCTCCTGATCGTTCCGGTGATGCTGCAAGCTGGCTTTCATTGGCAGACAGTGCTGTTACTTGTGGCGAGCAGTGACTGCACTGCAGGTAACCTCTGCTTTTATTCCTGTTGTACTTCTGCACATGAGAGTCTCACCCTTCTCATCTGAGCGGGTGCCTTCAGCGTTGCTGTATGCAGGGAGTGATATTCCCTAGAGCAGAACAGTCTGGGCCACGTTGAAAATATTTACCAGCAGTGCTTTTCAGCTTTGTAGTTTCTGAGTTCTGCTGTGGGCAGTGGTAAATACATGAACCGTCTTGAGTCAGATTGGAAGTTAAGGTGGTCTGTTATCCTCCTGAAGTTCTGCAGCTGAGCTTTGGGGAAAGGATATGAGGGTAATACTCGAATGGGGAAGGTCTCAGAAGGTTGTCCCGTGGCTTGTGTCAGACTCCCGTGCTGCAGGAAGGAGCCTCCTGAGCCAAGCTTTTTGTATGGGAGCATTTGCTCGGTGCAGACTTGGCTGTCCCGGGAGAAGGAAATGACTGACTTGGCAGCTAATGTGTTTCAGGTGAGGACGTCCACTAAAAAAGCACCAGCGTCCAGGAGCAGAAGAGCTCCTTCACCAAGAGTGAAACGCATGAGTCAAAGGTAACGGCGACGAGTTTTATGGCAGGATTTCAGAAGCAGAGGGTAAAATTGCGGTGCTAACGTAGCTGCTGAATGGGGTGGTGCGTGGCCTAGCAGGCTGGGTGGTGTGGGCATGGCGTGCCGTAGGGTGATCTGTGAGGACCCTGGGTTGTCTCGTCCAGGTCTTTGGTAAGACAGTGCTTACGTGTCCATTAAAATTATTCTTCTGAGAGCAGGGCTCTGCTTACATGCTTCCTTTTAAGCAGATCAAGCAAAAGCAGCTTTATCACTCCGGCTACTGGCAGAAATCTCGATCTCTGTGCTCGAGGAGGCGCCTCCCTCGTCACACCCAGGTTTGATTCCAGGTCTGTATTCTATTGCATTTCTCTGTTAATTTCTTACACAGAGGAGTGCCTTGCTGCTTGCTCCTTACATCTTGGTTGCAGAATATTTTCCAGCAGCACTTTGAAACTGCAATGGAAGACTTTTGGTCCAAGTGCTCTAAGAAATTGCAGTAAAATTCCTTACCTGTTGCTTTTTCCAGTGTTTTCAAGACGCCGGGTTTGCGCACACCCGCAGTAACTGAACGTGTTTACACCATCTCTGCTAATGGCAGCCCCCTTGCTGATGGCAATGATATCTTCATTACCGTTCCTGTTGGAGGAGGGGAGGTAAAATCAAACTTGAGTCTGTAAAATCTATGCAGCAAGGAGAGCCTGTGCCTTCTTGGGGCCTTTTCAGTTTCAAGGGACTGCTGTTCATCCATTCTCTCCCGATTACTTGTGTCACCGCAGCTTATCAGGAGGTAAATGTTGCTTAAAAAGAGCCTGAAGAAGTTCTTAGTCAGCAGTGGGAGCTGTCTAAGAATTCTGGTCTAAGCAGAATGCAGACTGTGCTGTGCTGTGCTTCTGCTCACAGTGCCGCGTCAGCACACCAAGGGCAGTACGGGATGAGCTGGTCAAGCTGCGTGTGGCTGTTGGCATGTACGCGGCCTCCTAGTGTGCATAGAGTTTTACTTTTGCTGCTTGTAGCTGCTGCAGCGAAACAATCAGGAAACCTGAGATTTGGTGGTGTTTGGCTTCTTGCAGAGCATTCGTTTAACAGCAAGTGATCTGACCAAGAAGAATCTTCTTCATCTCAATCCAGAGGCACGAGGCATTATGAAGAAGCTGTCTGTAAGTCTTTTTTTTTTTTCTTTTTTTTTTTTTTTTCTGTTCGAGATCTGAAGCTGTAATGCAGCATTGTCTCTGTCCTTAATTATTGTCCTTAACTGTTAAGCTACTGAGCTGTAACAGAAGCTTCTTATTTCAAGTCTTGTATCTTAGCTCCTACCGCTAGTGAAGAAGCAGCATGAACTGGGAAGGGAAGGGGAAGGAGGGATAAAATTTCGCACTTGTAGAAAAATAACTATTGTCAACATTTTGAAAAACTGAATCGAAACTAAAGGTGTCCTCTGTTCCAGGTGGAAAACAGAAGTGTGGCTGTGTGTTATAATCTCTTGATGAATTGCTCTTTCTTTCTAGGTTCGTCTTGCACAAGCCTGTAGCAGTGCAAAAACTCATAGGTGAAGAGCAGTGAATGTCAACACCTTTTGTAAATGTGGAACTACTATAAGCTACAAGTACATTTTATTTGGTGTCTTGTAATTCTGTGAGCATTCATTTAAACAAAACAAAATAATAATAATAATAAAAAAAAGAAAGAGCAAAGCAGTTAAGACCAGTGCTGTATAACTGACAATGCTGTTAATATTCAAGCGTCCCTTTCCAGCTGTCAGAGTGATTTGGTTGTAGCTGGCATGAGTCACAGCTACCTGGCAGCTACTAGCTAACCAATATTCATCACCCAAATTCATTTCCCATCCTGTTTGAGCCCTGTATGCCTCCAGGGAGTGGGTTAGCAATGGTTCTTTCCTCTGCAGTGTATTGCTTGCACACACTACTAAAATCGCTTCTGCAACTTACGTGGCAGTAGTGTTTGGCTTAACTCGTGCAACCTGCTGTAGGGAACTGCTTTGGCAAGGGGTTGGACTCGTTGACCTCTGGAGGTCCGTTCCAACCCCTACGATTCTGTGGTTCTGTGACCCGCCTGGTGTCCAGGAGCAGCTCCTAGCTGAGCTGGGCAGCCCCGAAAGAGGGGCGCTGATCGAGGCGAGTTGGAGCCTGGCAGTCAGGCGTGCGCCTTTGGTTCTTGCTTTCCTCAAATCATCAGCAGCTGAACCCGAAGTCATTCGTCGCACCAAAAACGGCGGAGGCACAAAAAAAAACCGCTCATCATCCCGCCCTGAACACCGCCGCGCACCCCCGCTCTGCGCTTTCCCGGCGGCACGGATGCGACCCGTGCTCGCCGCTCTCCAGGAAGGCCCGCACGCAGAGGGGCGGCGCGGGTTCGGCATCGCCTCGATCCCCCGCGTCCCCGCCCTCCTCCTCCCGTGGCCCCGGAAGCGGAGTGGGCGCGCGGCGACAGGCATCGGCGTGGGCAGCCGGGCCGGGGCCATCCGGGACGCGCGCGGCGATGACGCAACGACGGCGCGACCGCGGACAGAAAGGACCCCGCGAGCGGTGCCCGCCCCGTTCCGCGGGCCGACCAATGGCGGCACGGAGGAGGCGGGGCCGAGCGCTGGCTCTCCGCCAATGGCGGCCGGGGGGCTGCCGCAATGGCGCTGGCGGAGACGTGGGGCTCCGTGCGGGGAAAGTGGTGCTCCGCCGCCCCGCGTCCCCGCCGCCGCCCTGTGCCTTTGGGACGCCGGGCGCTCAGGGGAAGGCGGCGCGGGGGCCCGTCCGTCCCCCTTCGGCACCGAGCCGTCCTTTTCAGTCGCCGTTCGGCGGTCGTCTCTCTGTCGCTCTGTGCGTTCGTCAATTAAATGTTTACCGTTCGTTTCTCGGCGCTTCTGCCCGCGGTCTTTTCTGCAGCTCAGGTAAGCCACCCCGTCCCCGTGCCCACCGCCGGGTAAGGACAGGGCGGCGCAAACAGAAGAGACTAAGACTAGCTGCACAGTTTTGAAAACTGCTCTGCAGACCAGCTGCTCGATAATGTCCTGCTGACACGAATCCTGAACTTGTCTGCCCTCAGAAAGTCTTCCTGGATGTTCCTCGAAGGTTGCTAATATTCTTGGCGCTCTTGGCCTAGGTGAATTTAATTGGAAAACTTCCACTAGCTTAGCAGGACTGTCTTCTTATTTTCCGTATGAAAGAACTGGATTAGTATTTTTCTTGCTCTCTTTTTTGGATTTTTCTAACAATCTCAAAAGCCTGTAAAGCATGGCTTCCTGATAGCTTTCACACATGTTCTTTGACTCTGTGTATTTATGCATTTATACATGAAATGAGTTTTATTTGTTTCTGCAATATTGTTTTCACCTAGCATATGTTTTAGTCTGGGAGTTAAATCTGAGTTGTTTATTTACTGCTGTGATAATACTGAGGATCTGCTCGAGGCACTGCAGCAGTGCAGTACACGCTTACGCTCTCAAACTCCAGGGCCCCTGTATAATCAATGGATATCAAGATTTTATAATCACAATATAATCAAGAGAGTTAGGCAAAGTAGACAAAAGAGACAAAATGATAACAAAAGAGAATAAAATGAAAGGCTTACCCTTCAGCTGAGCTCACCACAAAACACCAAGAGAGGTGATCTCCAGAAGAGATCCTTCCCCTCTTAAATAGGTCTAGGAGGGGTGGAGTCAGGCTCCCCCCCTTCCAGCAGCACAGGTGAATTGCCTTCAGCTGTGCTCCTCTGGCTGACTCATGGCTCGCCTCAGGTGATCAATCAGAGGTTCAGGCCGTGACTCCGCAGTTCCCATACACTCCATCCCTTCACGGCGTGAACCGATGATCAGGTTAACAAAAGGGTAAGCTTTCCCTAATACAGAGATCCGGTATATCACGATGCTTATACAATTTTATCATGATGTGTGTTGGTACAATTCAAGACGAGTGATGATTAGTGGATGTCTATATTCTTGTATGGGCCAGTGCTCGATGATGTGACTGGAGGCATGAGGTCCTGAGGTGCAGGTCCGTTCTATGTTCCATCAGTCCCATGCAGACCATCACCAGGTGTTGTACGTGATCTGACAGCAACACTGGAACACTTGATGGCATTTTGTTCCTTCCAGTGGTCCTGAAGGCTCACAGACTCACGGGGAGTAATACAGATGTTTCACAGGTACCAGGAGGGGAAGGTCTGCTCTCCAGGGCAAGATACAGGCCGTATTTCTATCCTGGGTCAACACTTCCGCTTGTACTGGGGCACGTCCTGGCCGCCTGTACCACACCTTCTGTCCGGATGTCTGCAGCTGCATAACGATATCAGGCACCAAAGGAGGTGTCCTGATCTGCCACAGGGACACGATGGGGGTCCCTTTAGCAATAAAGGGTTGAGGAGCAGGTAAAAGGGTTGATGGAGCGGGCATACAAGTAGTGTTTGCCAGTATTCCCTTGGTGGCAGGAACGAGCATTGAGATGACCATGAAAAGCCATCTTATAAATGCATGGCTGAGAGGCTGGTGCAAGCGCAAAAATTTTGGATTCTTTGATCATGGGGCAGTCTACTCAGCACCTAGCCTGAGGTCTGCTGATGGGAATTGCCTATCTCCAAAAGGGAGACAGATACTTGCCCAGGAGCTGGCGGGACTTGTAGAGAGAGCTTTAAACTAGATAGGAAGGGGGAAGGGGATAAAGCCAGGCCTGCTAGAGAACAGCCTGGGGAACTGGTATTGGGATTAGGTGAAAGGCAAGGGGCTCAGCTGAGGTGCGTCTACACTAATGCACGCAGCATGGGCAACAAACAAGAAGAGCTGGAAGCCATTGTGCAGCAGGCAAACTATGACCTAGTTGCCATAACGGAAACATGGTGGGATCGCTCCCACGATTGGAGCGCTGCAATGGATGGCTACAAACTCTTCAGGAAAGATAGGCAAGGAAGGCGGGGTGGCGGTGTGGCTCTCTATGTTAGGGAATGCTTTTACGCTACTGAGGTTATGACTGGGGACGATAACGTTGAATCCCTATGGGTAAAGATCAGAGGAAGGGCTGACAAGACAGGCACCCTGGTGGGTGTCTGTTATAGACCTCCAAATCAGGATGAAGAGACAGACAAGGTATTCTATAAGCAGCTGGCACGAGCTGCACAGTCGCCTGCCCTTGTCCTCATGGGGGACTTTAACTTCCCTGACATATGCTGGGAGTACAGCACAGCACAGAGGAAGCAGTCTAGGAGGTTTCTGGAATGCGTAGAGGACAACTTCCTGATACAGCTGGTCAGAGAGCCCACTAGAGGAACTGCCCCACTAGACCTGCTGTTCGCAAACAGGGAAGGTTTGATGGAGGATGTGAAGGTTGGAGGCTGTCTTGGACAGAGTGACCATGAAATGATAGACTTCGTGATTCATGGTGGAGCCTGGAAGGGGAATAGTAAAATTGCTACCTTGGACTTCAGGAGGGCGGACTTTGAATTGTTCAAGGGACTAATAGGGGGAGTCCCCTGGCATTCAGTCTTAGTGAGTAAAGGGGTCCAAGAGAGCTGGTTGCTCTTCAAGAAGGAAGTCTTAAGGGCGCAGGAGCAGGCAGTGCCCCTGAGCTGCAAAATGAGCCGGCAGGGAAGAAGACCAGCGTGGATGAATAGGAAGCTATTCTTGAGGCTCCGGGAGAAAAAGAGAATCTACCGCCTGTGGAAAGAGGGACAGGCCTCTCAGAATGAATACAAGGAAGTCGTTAGGATGTGTAGAGGTGAAATCAGAGAGGCAAAAGCCCAGCTTGAATTTAACCTATCTGCTGGCGTGAAAAGGAATAAGAAACTCTTTTATAAATACATAAACAGTAAGAGGAGGACAAAGGAGAATATCCACTCTTTGCTGGATGAGGCTGGGAATGTGACCACTGAGGATAAGCAAAAGGCAGAGGTTCTGAATGCCTTCTTTACGTCTCTCTTTAAAAGTCAGACCAGTTATCCTCAGGATACTCCTCTCTCTGACCTGGTAATCTCGGCTGGGGAGCACACTAATCCCCCTGTGATTCTGAAAGAAACAGTCAGAGACCTACTGCTCCAACTGGACTGTCACAAGTCGATGGGGCCAGATGAGATCCACCCGAGAGTGCTGAGGGAACTGGTGGAGGTGATAGCTGAGCCGCTTTCCATCATCTGTCAGCACTCCTTGTTGACTGGTGAAGTCCCAGAAGACTGGAGGCTTGCCAATGTGACTCCCATTCACAAGAAAGGTCATAAGGAGGATCTGGGGAACTACAGGCCTATTAGCCTGACCTCGGTGCCAGGGAAGGTTATGGAGCAGATTGTCTTGAGGGAGATCAAGTGGCATGTGCGGGGTGACCGGGAATCAGGCCTAGCCAGCATGGGTTCGTGAAGGGCAGGTCCTGCTTGACCAACCTGATCTCCTTCTATGATCTAGTGACCCATCTGGTGGATGAGGGAAAGGCTGTTGATGTGGTCTACCTAGACTTCAGCAAAGCCTTTGACACTGTCTCCCACAGCCTTCTCCTGCAGAAGCTGGCAGCCCGAGGCTTGGATGGGTACACTCTCGGCTGGGTGAGGAGCTGGCTGGAAGGCCGGGCTCAGAGAGTGGTGGTGAATGGAGTTAAATCCAGTTGGCGACCGGTTGTGAGTGGTGTTCCCCAGGGGTCGGTGCTGGGGCCTGTCCTCTTCAGTATCTTTATTGATGACCTGGATGAGGGCATCGAGTGCACCCTCAGTAAATGACACCAAATTGGCTGGAAGTGTGGATCTGCCTGGGGGTAGCGAGGCCCTACAGAGGGATCTGGACAGGCTGGAGAGCTGGGCTGAAGCCAATGGGATGAGTTTCAACAAGGCCAAATGCCGGGTCCAACCCCAGGCGACGCTACAGGCTTGGGGCGGTGTGGCTGGAGGACTGCGTAGAGGAAATGGACCTGGGGGTATTGATTGATGCTCAGCTGAACATGAGCCGACAGTGTGCCCAGGAGGCCAAGAAGGCCAATGGCATCCTGGCTTGCATCAGAAAAACAGCGTTGCAAGCAGGAGCAGAGAGTTCCCCTGTACTCGACCTCGAGTACTGTGTCCAGTTTTGGGCACCTCACTGCAAGAAAGACATGGAGGCCCTGGAACGCGTTCAGAGGAGGGCAACAAAGCTGGTGAGGGGTCTGGAACACAGGCCATATGAGGAGAGGCTGAAGGAGCTGGGAATGTTCAGCCTGGAGAAGAGAAGGCTCAGGGGAGACCTCATTGCTCTCTATAACTTCCTGAAGGGAGGTTGTAGTGAGCTGGGGGTCGGCCTCTTCTCTCGTGTCATTGGTGGTAGGACCAGGGGGAATGGCTTCAAGCTACGGCAGGGGAGATTCAGGCTGGACATCAGGAAGTATTACTTTTCAAAAAGGGTGGTCAGGCACTGGAACGGACTGCCCAGGGAGGTGGTGGAGTCACAAAGCCTGGGGGTGTTCAAGGAAAGACTGGATGTTGTGTTGAGGGACATGGTTTAGTGGGAGCTATTGGTAATAGGCGAACGGTTGGACTGGATGAGCTTTTAGGTCTTTTCCAACCTTGGTGATTCTATGATTCTATGATTCTAAAGATCGGAGTGTTGACCACAGTATCAGTAGGCCATGTACCTATTACTGGAGGGACTACTGAGCCTCCCACCTCCAATAGTCTCCCCCAAGGTGCAAGTAGGCCACACCACTTGGGTCCTACCTGCACCTTCCAGGGCCGTTTCATTTTATGGGTACTCGGATCTAAATTCTCAGGGGCAGGGAGCAGAAGATTATTTTCGTTACCAATCTGGGGTCTTCCCTGATGATCAGTGCCCGTAATTTGGATCCTAAGCGGGGTGGCCCATGTCGTCTGCAACATTCTCAGGGCACTGGGTCTGCCGTCTCGAGGTCTTTCATTCAGGTCCCGCAGGGTTTCATACAGTCTTTTCGTCCACCCCTGCAGGGACTGGGAGTCTGTCTTCAGGGCAGCCTTAAGAATACCGTTATAACGTTCGATGAGGCCTGCCCCCGTTGGATTATATGGCAGGTGGAATCACCATTTGATGTTATTTTCTTCTGCCCAGCGTTGTATCGTTGCACCAGTAAAATGAGTCCTTTGGTCGCTCTCGATGACTTGAGGTGTCCCGTAGGCAGACATCAGTTTAGTGAGTGCCTTGATGGTATATGCCTGGTTTGCTTTCGGTACTGGATAGGCCCGCAGTAACCCACTTGCAGTGTCGACACAGGTCAGGGCGTATCTTGCCCCTTCGGAATGAGGAAGGGGTCCGATGTAATCGACCTGCCATCGCTGTTTTGTGTCCC